GCATCGATTTCGTTTGTGAACTTACCCCCATTGTTAGGCAGAACAATTTAAGGTCGTCGGCATCTGAATGAAGATTTAGGCGCGCTTCCATTGCCTTCTCGCCGGCAAACTCAGCGGCGTTTGTCTTATGACACTATGATTGGTTCGAGCACCCGTAACTTGGAATTCATGAATCCGTTCGCAGCAGAGATAAAATTAACAGCAAATAAAACGGTGATGATCTTTGAAAACATGGTTGAACTTCGTTTCTAAAGAATAAACACAATAAGGGCTGTTTTTAATATCATTAAAACAAAGCTGAAAGAGAGCAAAGCTAAGCCCGAAACTTACTGGTTGAGTTTTGTTTGAAGTTGGAAATAGTCATTTTCAGAGTTAGAACTGAAAATAGGAAATATGCGATATCAGAAACTTTGGCGAAGCTGAAACAAATACATTTACGCTTGGTGGGTTGGCGTCTGTAATACTTGACCAGCAGAACGACACAGCTTGTGTTTGTGCTCAGACGACTGTTACACTTAAAAAAGTGAGAACTCAGCGAAAAGGAAGCTTAACCGCGGCCAACAGTTTTGACGAAAAGCACCAGCGTATGCCAGTTAAACTGTATAAACACTTCTTGAAAGTTCCTGCTCTCAAGAAAATGAAACCAGTTATAAACAGAAGTTTCCCGAGCATTTTTACTCTGAAGCGAAGGAGAGTAGTTTGTTTGGAAGGGTAAAACCATTTATAAACAAGATTATATTTGGCTCTCTTTAGTCAATATAAAGGCTTTAGGGCATGTATCTTCTAAGAGCAATGTTAAGTTCTATGGGAGTGTATTTTTTCTCTCTCGAAAACATCATAAACAAGTCAGAGAAAAAACATATCAACGCAAGCTACATGTACCGTAACCTCCCAAAAGAAGTTGCGCGAGCTCTAAGCAGGCGACTTGCTCTAATATATGAGGCCTGTCTTTTATCTTGCACATGTACGGCTTGGAAGCTCAGCTCTGAGCTTCAAGCTAAGACATAAATACTGTCGCACCGAAGCACAAATTATAAATTTCTGTTTTGCATCCAAAACATGCAGTAAAACTCACCGTTTAATGTCGCTAAGTCTTCGTCC